AATAAAGTAAAATAAAATAAAATAAAATAAAGTAAATTAAATTAAAATAAAGTAAATTAAAATAAAATAAAATAAATCAAGTTTCTCATTCTGATGTGTGTTAATTTGGTCTCTCAGAATGGGCAACAAATTTGGTGAACTCTCTAAACCAGCCGCTTGACCACTGGCCTTTCCACCTTCCACCACCGCACGCCCCAGACCTCACCATAGGACTGTTTGCCACGGTGCGAGGAGTTAACAAATTCTCTCCACTGTGTATTTCTTCTCTCTCCTGCATATTTAGGTTGAACTTAGTAGTTTTGGGTTCTCTACTGAGCTCCATTCTGGAGCCAAAACCGACAAGTTGCTCAATGGTCTGTGGCTGCACACTGGTTGTGTGAGACCATGATTTGTGCTTGGGTGGAAAAGAGCCCTGAGATGGGAAGAATGCAGGAAATAGAGGAAACTGACCCACAATAACACCAGACTCGACTTCCACCCCATAATTAGAGCTGTATCTGACAGTAGCCCCTTCGAGGAGCACAGCAAGGCCGGCTGAGCTGTGGTCAGATGGCTTAGCCACGGGCTCTTCTGTGTCTGCAAGAGGGGTGGGTTCAACCTCCCTTTCTGGTCCCGCACCCCTGGGAAAAGTCCTGCCTTTCTTAAACAGGAAAATGGGAAAGGGCCTTAACACTCCCTTGCTTCAGGAAGCTCCTGTGGTAAGTATTGAGTGCAAAAATAAGAATTAGTATTAGTATTATTGCTGCAAAATGCACCCAAACTGACAAAGCACCACAAGTCTGGGGGTAGAATCATGAACCATGGAACGGTTTGTGTTGAAAGGGACCTTAAAGCTCCTCCAGCTCCAACCCCTGCCCCGGGCAGGGACACCTTCCACTAGAGCAGGTTGCTCCAAGCCCCTGTGTCCAACCTGCCCTTGAACACTGCCAGGGATGGGGCAGCCCCAGCTTCTCTGGGCACCCTGTGCCAGCACCTCAGCACCCTCCCAGGGAAGAGCTTCTGCCCAAGAGCTCATCTCAGTCTCCCCTCTGGCATGTTCAAGCCATTCCCCTTGGCCTGTCCCTCCATCCCTTGTCCAAAGCCCCTCTCCAGGTCTCCTGGAGCCCCTTTAGGCCCTGGAGCTGCTCTAAGATCTCCCCTTCAGAAACCTTTTCCAGGTTGAACAAGGTACAGAACAGGTACTCTCCAGGCTGGACATGTGGTTCCTTTTGATGTCTTCCCATCTCCAGCATCCTCATCCCTTCCCCTCCCCTCCAAAGCAGCATCTGCACAGCAGCAGGATGAAGCAGATGAGTTTGTCCTTGCAACAGCCCACAGCCTGTGACAAACATCCCATCAACATCAGCTGGAGCTGCATGAAGCCTTCAAGGAAGAGAGACCATCTAACACTGTAAGAGCACAAGGAACAAGCACGGTGACATTTTGAGGACAAGGACAACCCATCACTCATGGAGACGTATGGATTCAGTACGAAACCACTTCTTACAAATGATTTATTTAAAAACCCCACAGAATCCTTCAGCTCTGTGGTTACTGCTCGGTGCTGGCACCACCAAGACTGTCAGCAGGAGCAAATGCTTTGGAGGACATAAATCCAAAAGACTGCAGTGTCCAAAGGTTAATGTGTGTGGACTAATCCACATGAAGGAGCAAGTTGCACCATTGAGGTGGAGGAGGCAGGCGTAGAACATGGACAGACTCCCATGGCAGTAGAGATGTAGCACATCCCACCCAGAACGTGAGGAAGCAGCCCACTGTCCACCGCTCCAACCATCCATCCTTCACAGTTCAAGTGTGGCATGATCCACATGGCTTCACCTCCAAGGACATGGAGTTTTGGTGTCACACTTTGGATTCTGGGTTCTTTAGGGAGTTTCCTGCCAGTTTCTCCTTCTCTGGGTCCGCCTTTGTCCGTGCCGCACTGCTGGCTTCCCTCTCCTGCCGTCTCAGGATCACATACACCGTCACAAAGCACAGGAAGGCACCAACCTCAAAGAAAAACTGGAGACCAAGATACCTGTGGTGTGGAAACACAACAAATCAGGGTAGCGACAGTGTTCTTGTGTGCACCCAGTGTCCTGAGGCACCCAGCAGACACTGAACAAGCAGACGGGCTCTTTGGGCACATCCAGCAACCACTGCAAGTCTGGGTCCTGAGAAGGGTGGAAGGAAGAGGAGGAGAAGTTGTCAAGATGCACTTCTCTTTGGCGTTAGATTAAGAGATCATATCTGCTAACAGGGAAGCATATACAGAAGGTAATCTGGTTCAGCCAGGACCTGTGGGGACAGGCCAAGGGGAATGGCTTGAACCTGCCAGAGGGGAGACTGAGATGAGCTCTGAGGCAGAAGCTCTTCCCTGGGAGGGTGCTGAGGCGCTGGCACAGGGTGCCCAGAGAAGCTGTGGCTGCCCCATCCCTGGCAGTGTTCAAGGCCAGGTTGGACACAGGGGCCTGGAGCAACCTGCTCTAGTGGAAGGTGTCCCTGCCCGGGGCAGGGGTTGGAGCTGGAGGAGCTTTAAGGCCCCTCCAACCCAAACCCGTCTGGGATTCTATGAGAACTCCACTATGTCCCTGGGGAGGTTGTTCCAGTGAACTGTTCTCACTACAAGGCAGGGAGTGCTTCTGGAATTGGGCCTCTGTGGTCTATAGCAGCAATTTAACATGGTCCTTGGCAGGGTTTTGACTTATGCCAATGACTTTCCGAACCATTCCTGGGCATTGCTGGGAGTTAGCACATGCAAAGGGGATGTGAGTGTCCCTGTCTGCTTACTATAGCATATGCAGCAACTTATCCCATGCAAAAGATGGCCTGATGCCACATTGCCCCTGGTTTCCGTCTGCACCCTCATCCCCTACCCTGATGCTCATCCCTACCTTTGCCTGAAGAGGTTATTGTCATAGTATCTGCAGGCTGCTTTCCTGTCACACTTTTTCTCCCAGAGGATGCAGGTCGTGTCGATGGCACTGCCGTACAGAACAGGTCCTGGCATCCAGGCTGGAAGCAGACAGAAGGTCAGAGGGGGCTTTAGGATGTTACGGGAGCACCTCTGCCATGACAAACACAACCCTGGTTACTCTCCCATGTGCTAAGGGGGAGAAAGTGTCTGGGGATGGTCTTCATGGTGGTCCATGAAGCCACTGGTCCTGCATATCACACCAAGGGCTGGCTGTGTGTTTGCATCCCACCAAGATGCAAGATGGTCCTTCTTTCTCCTTGCTCTTTGACAAGGGACCGTTGCTTATCTCAGGAATGCTGCTCACCTCCTTCATGCACTGTGCATGCACACTCCATCCCACGACTGCAATGGCGTGTTCTCCAGGTGAACGTGAACTTCACCATAGGAAAACTGACCAGCACATGGTTTGCAGCTACCCTGGTACGCTGAGGGCAAACTTTGCAGTATCTACACACAGCCAAGGGCTGGACCTAAACCTGTTCCCTGCCCTCTGACACATACCCCCATGGAGATGCCTCATTCCCTCCCCTCCATGTGCAGCCCCCCCAACCCTGCAAGGCAGCATCTTTCCCTGGCGTAGAACAGGCTTTAGTCAGTCTGAAACTCCGATTAAACATCAACCTGTAGCCTTGGGGCTGCTCAGGGCTGAAATCCCCACCAATCCCCAGGAGCTGCCATGATTTTCCAGGATGACATTTCAACACGTTTTCATTTACCTAAAACTCTCAGCAGCATGAACTGTACCCCGACAGCAAAGGATTTGTCTTCAGGCTGGATGCTCCTGAAACACAAAATGGAAAGTGTGCCACAAAGATGGATGTTTCCCTCCCTGGCCTCACATGAAGCCTTACAGTACCTCACCCCCAAAACCATCCTTCAACCCGAGCAAGGACACCAGGCAGCTCCCATTTACATCCGTGTCCTGATGAAGCTTCATTCCTTAGGGCTAGAAGCCTCTTCTGGCCTGGAAAACCTGCTGAGCTCCATAACAGACAGAGAGGAGCTCAGTGGAGTATTTTTGCTTCTAGTTTAAAGAACAAGACACAAACAGAACCCAATTTAGCCGCTGGCTCTGCCAAACACAAGCAATACAAGGGATGCTTTTGCAGCTGAAGAAGTGATTTACCCATTGAGGAAGTGGCTTTTTCTGAGGTGAGATGACCCAGTGTATATTTTGGTGGTACCCCAGTTTTCTGGAAGTATTTCAAGCTGTGGTTCCTGCTGGGGTCACACGTGGGAGAGGACAGGGTGGGAGAGGACCTCCAGGTCAGCAAATCTCATGGAATCATGGAATGGTTTGGGTTGAAGGGACCTCAAAGCTCCTCCAGCTCCAACCCCTGCCCTGGGCAGGGACACCTTCCACTAGAGCAGGTTGATCCAAGCCCCTGTGCCCAACCTGGCCTTGAACACTGCCAGGGATGGGGCAGCCACCTCAGGGGCCTCAGCTTCCCTTTCCTCTCCGACTGCCTGGTGCGCACACAGCTCACTCATGGCATTAAAGGTGATTTCATTTGATTTAATAATACCTGGGAGTCAAGCTAAAAGCAGGTTTTAACCACAGCTTTTCCCTAAAAAGCATCTCTTTGGAGGGCTTTGACCACAGAAATGTGCTTGGGAATATCATTTATAGACTGACCCATGGCTTTTCCCTTTTCTGCCCATCCCAGCCTGGGGCTTGTTCTGCGGTTGGCTCCAGCCTGCCCCATATGTACCTTTCCAAGGGTATAGGCAACTGCAGTCCTAATTGCTTCTCTGCACTGGAAAGGGACGTTGTGTTCAAGGGAGATCCACCAGAAGGAAGGAAAGTAATTAAACTTCTTAATTTAACACAGAGCTGCATTTAAAGTGCTGAAGTTCTGCAGTGCTGAGTTAATGGTGCATCTCTTTCCTAAGGTATCAGCCTCCGGGGAGGAGGAACAGGACCTACTGCTGGACCTGAAGGTTGTGCTAACAGCAGGACTAGGGGTGTTAAAGGCAATGTGGGGTTCCTGCAAGCCCCATGGCCCCGTTGATGCACCCATCAATGTGGAGCTGTGGAAGCCTGGCATGGTGTGACACCCACTGAGCCTTGCCTGAGCCTGTTGGTGATCACCATGTTCCCTGCAAGAGCAATTGGTCGAGCAGCAGTGGTGGCTCCATGATAAAGCCTCCAGCAGCCTGAAATCCCCACTTGGCTGCTTAACTCTGCAGGGAGCAGCAGCCAAAGAGACCTTGGAGGAGCCTTTGTAGTCTTAGGGCAGCAGGAGCTCTGTTAGTGCTGGGTCTTCAAGAGCAAGTCCGGAAGGTCTCTCCTGCTCCAGCATTTGAGACTGGAGATGCTTGATGCTTCTATCCTGCCCCTTTGCTAGCAATGCCACATCTTCACTAGCAAAGCACAGCCCGCTCCTGAGCCAGATGTAGCCTAGAAGATGGACAACCTCATGGAACCTGTGAGGTTCCATGCCCTCATAGGAGCAGGTAACCCCCATTCCCTGCACCAACACATGCAAAACCCATGTAAAAGCAATGGGAGGAACAGGGCATGAGGTGCAATGTAGGGTTGGTTTCCCCTCCGGTCCCTCAGCTGGAGAAAACCTTCCTCGTCGACCCAAGGACCCTTTGCTTTTCCAAGCACCACATCTGGATGCTTTTTCCAGCTGCACACAGACCAATACCAATGCAAGGTGCTCACCTGAGGATAAGCATGAAGGACGGCGTGTGGGACGTGCTGGCAAGGATCCCTGCCAGGCAGGACAGGATCACAAAGGGCAGGAAGAGGTGGGAGCAGCCGGTGCCGGCAAAGCCCATGAGCCCGTTGTCAGAGATGCAGCTGCAGTTGGTGTAGTTCTGCAAAGAGGAGAGGAAAGCAGAGGCTGCTCATCTGCTCAAGGCTACGGAGATACCATGGGTAGATGCCAGCTGCCATAGGGTTGTATGGACATAGCTGGTAGTAATTAGCACTCAACACTTCAGGGAAGGATTTAGGGAGAGGAAGAAACACATATGATGAAGCTGGGTGGGGATAACAGGCTGAGCGGACGAGGCAACACGTGTTTCCATCCCCACTTACAGCCTACAACATACTGTCACCTCTGAAAGGAGGTCCCAGATCCACCACGTCCCCTGGGCATCGCCAGGATGTCACACAGGTGAGCATGCAGCGGTGACAGGAAAGCTGGTACCACCATGGTACTTTGGTTCAAACCACAGAATCCTGGAATCCCATTGGAAGGGACCACAAAGATCATCTGCTCCCCACTTTCCAGGCACAGCATGACCTAGGCTGGGTGCCCAGCACCCTGTGCAGCCCAGTCTTAACAGTGTCCAACGCTGGGGAATCACCACTTCCCTGGGGAGATGATTCCAATGGTTGGTTGTTCTCATTGGGAATGATTCCCTCTTGTGTCCAGTGGGAATCTCCCCAGCAGTAACTTGTGCCCATCACCCCTCGGCTTTCCCATGGGACTCCTTGTCCAAAGGGAGTCTCCATCTCCTCTGCAGCCCCCCTTTAACTCCTGGCACGTGGGATCAGGTCTCCCTGAGCCTGCTCTTCTCCAGCTGAACAGTCCCAGCTCTCTCAGCCTTTCCTCACACGCTGCCCAGCCCTTGGACCATCTTTGTGGCCCTTCTCTGGCCCCTCTCCAGCCCATCCACAGCTTTGCTGTGCAGCAGGACCCAAACTGAGCCCATGTTGTAGGGGTGGCCTGACCAGCGCCGAGCACAGTGGGACAATGACACCTTTATCCCCGTGGTGGTGCCCCTGTTGATGGTCCCCAGCACCCTGTTGGGTTTCTCTGCTCACTGCTCACTGGTCACTTCTATGGAGTTTATATCCACCAGTTCCACCTACAGTGGTACCTTGGTTCATCTCTCTGTGCTTCCAGAGGCATCTGGAAGTGCTCCCAACCCAGATGCATCTTTGCCTTGTTGGTGTGAGCCCCAGCAATGCCTCCCTACCCCCTGTAGCAATCTTTCCATGCTCGTGTTTCCAGTTCCATGTTTCATACACTGAAGATGTTTACACACAGGTTTATTCCAATGTCATCATCTGCCAGATGAATGCTTTGGCATCGTGGATAAATCTGGACTCTTGGCATGGACTGATCTCACCCACAGCTGATAAAACATTAAAGCCTGATGTGAGTTTACTCGTCTGTGTTATATCTGTATTTAAGAGAGACATTGAGGTGCTGGAGCGGGGCCAGAGAAGGGCACCGGAGCTGGAGCAGGGCCTGGAGCACAAGTGTGATGGGGAAGGGCTGAGGGACCTGGGGGTTTAGTGTGGAGAAGAGAAGGCTCAGGGGGACCTGATCGCTCTCTGCAACTGCCTGACAGGAGGATGGAGCCAGGAGGGGGCTGGTCTCTGCTCCCAAGGAACAAGGGATGGCACAAGAGGAAGCGGCCTCAAGCTGCCCCAGGGCAGGTTTAGCTGGAGCTGAGGAACAATTCCTTGCCCAGAGGGTGCTCAGGCATTGGAACAGGCTGCCCAGGGCAGGGCTGGAGGCACCGTCCCTGCAAGTGTTCACAGCCCGTGTAGCCGAGGCCTCAGTGCCAGGGGTTGGTGGTGGCCTTGGCACTGCTGGGAATGGTTGGACTGGATGAGCTTAAAGGGCTTTTCCAGCCTGGCTGATTTCATGATTCTATGATCTGTAGGAGGAAGTCTCCAAGGGAGCAGCCTGGGCTCCATCCCTTGCCTCCTGCTGCAAGACCCTCCATCCAGTGGCTGCGTGTAGAGCAGAGCTGGCAACCAAAGCCAGAGTCAGGCTCGGGACGATTAAACCAGCAATCACTCGCAATGGGAAAGTGCAAAATCTCACCTTTGAGAGAGGGTCATCAATTCCTGGCACAGCGTTAGCAAAGCAAAGATACCTCAAGGCAAGAAATAGGGATTTTTGTCTTTTTCTCCAGATTTCAGTCACAATTCTCTTTTTCTTTAACAAGAAACCTCTTTTTAGAGACCTTTAAATAAGATGAGTGTGATCTTATTGTTGCTGAAGGGGACAGGTTCACACCAGGATGGCAGTTTGCAGAAGGGTGGCTCCAGCGGCAGGAGCAGCCCAGGGCCTTCTAAATCCCCCTCCTTCATCACTGCCTGGGGAAGGGGCATGGCTGGTGCCCACAAAAGAGACCCACAAGGAACTGCTCCCGGCTGAGAGCACAGGGGGACATTTGGGATGAAAGGGGACAAAATCCCTCCTCCCACCTGGAGGAAAGAGGATTTAATGTTTTAAATTAAGGGATTTCTCTTCTTCAGCCATCTGAAACGAACTAAACCAAACTCCTCATCTGGGCTCCTGCTGTCATGGACAGAGAGGAGGGTCTCCAGGGCACCCGCCGCAGATGAGTGCCTGCGATAGCTGAGAGGAATTTGGGCCAAAGCAGTTCACAAAAATGCAATTAGATAAATTAAAACTCACTTGATCCGTGCACCAAGCACCTTGCAAAGAGTCACAGTCATGACATTAAAGGGACTCACCTAAGCCAACTTTGTGTTGGCTGGAGGCTCCAAGCCTGGAGAGGGGCTTTGGACAAGGGCCTGGAGGGACAGGCCAAGGGGAATGGCTTGAACCTGCCAGAGGGGAGACTGAGATGAGCTCTTGGGCAGAAGCTCTTCCCTGTGAGGGTGCTGAGGCGCTGGCACAGGGTGCCCAGAGAAGCTGTGGCTGCCCCATCCCTGGCAGTGTTCAAGGCCAGGTTGGACACAGGGGCTTGGAGCAACCTGCTCTAGTGGAAGGTGTCCCTGCCCGGGGCAGGGGTTGGAGCTGGGGGAGCTTTGAGGTCCCTTCAACCCAAACCATTCCATGATTCTAAGATAGATCAATAGGCAGCAAGAAGATTCAGCAAAGTATCTCAGTGCTAAAGGAAGAGCTAATGTTGGCTTTACCAAGCAGTGTTTGATGGCACCACCCAGGGAGCCCCAATTTTGCTGCAGCAGGTTGCTCCACATAGTAATACATGTAATAAATGCAGGAGTGGGCTCTGTTCAGGAGCTCAGGATGTCAAAGGGCTGGAGCCATCTTCGGGAAGAAAGAAGCTGTTGAAAAGGCTGATCTAAAGGCAGGCACGGGGATGCAGAAAAGTACATCTGGGACTAAGCCTTGGCACAAAACATAATGGTTATCAGAATGAAGTGTTGTTAATTAACAAAATGCTGCTAAAAAGTGCCCAGACAGTCCCTTGCTGCCATTGCATCCTGTGCCAAGAACCCAGCGGGAACTGCTCACCCTGTATGGATCGCTAATGTGTTTCAGATAGGTATTTGAGTTGGCAAAGCCTTCCTTCCTATTCATTTGTTGAACTGTATTGCCTGGAGACTCAAACTGACAATTGGCACTGTGAAAACTCATCCTATTGGGGTTTTGGTGACAAGCAGGGAGCAGCAGAGGAGAGAGAAGCACAGGGCAGCCTCGTAACACTTCCAGGTCTGCACATCAAGGCAAATGCAAGAGCAAAGCCCTTTTCTCTAGCTCCCACATCAGGATTTCCCACTGAATTATCCTCTTGTGCAGACACGTGGCTTGGCACTGGTATTTACAGAGAGGATTCACGTTGCAACTGGATCATGACTTTGTAACCTGCAAATCTGCAGGCTGAAAGGTGGAATAACATTGCTTTAACAAGGCCCTCCCGGAGCATTCACTGACAGCCTGCTAAATATCAGTGCTGTGTGTACTGGGGCAATGGTCCCTCCATGGGCTGCTCAGAGCATACAGAGCTGCTCCCCAGGTCCCCAAAAGCAGGATTTACTCCTTTCTCCTCATCTAGAGATACAGCATAGCTACAACAAGCTACATGATGGAAACACTCAGGCTGCTTCTGCAACTGCAGCTATCAGTTGAGTGGTTTCATCTTCTAGTGGAAGGTGTCCCAGCCCATGGCAGAGGCCTTGGAACCAGATCATAGAATCACAGACTGGTTTGGGTTGGAAGGGACCTTAAAGCTCACCTTTGCTGATGAGCGTTTAGAGGTGAAGGGAAAGCAGAAGGTCTTTGCATCTTGCATGCAAAAAGTCCACTCAAGCTGCTGTAGAACAAGGGAGATAATGAACCCGGGGTTTGTGGAGCTAAACCAGACTCAAAGAGGGAGCAGGGGATGGGGAAGGACACTTTGGCATCCTGAAAGGTTGGATACCTTGGCCAAGGATCTGTACTGGCAAGGACTGTGTTATGCTGGAGAGTACTAAGAGACACCAGGCTTTTCCTGGGAGGTGCTCAACTATCTCCTGCTCGTGCCACAGGGTCATGCAGAGCTTGTCCAATACTAACAAACATCAGAAACGCAGTCACCAGACCTGAGCACGGCATCGGTTATCCCTCATTAGCCACCCCACGCCAGAGGGAATGACTTACCAGGACTGAGTTGTTGTCTGCACCGATATTCACACCCCTGCAGCCAGCAGAACAGGGTGAGATGTATTCAACAGCATTGGAGCCGCAGATGGGGTTATAGGCTTTCTCAGGGCAGTTGCACTGGAGGTTGCACTCCAAGGCATGGTGTCCAAATACAGAGCTGCAGCAGGAGGAAAGTGTTAATGCATGGTATTGAGCATCATTAATATGCATCCTTATAGAAAATATACTACATGTATACTGAGATTAGCAAAGAAACACTCGATTGCTTAACAAAACTTTTCCCATACCATAGGATCATGGAGTGGTTTGTGTTGGAAGGGACCTTAAAGCTCCTCCAGCTCCAACCCCTGCCCTGGGCAGGGGCCCCTTCCACTAGAGCAGGTTGCCCCAAGCCCCTGTGTCCAACCTGCCCTTGAACACTGCCAGGGCTGGGGCAGCCACAGCTTCTCTGGGCACCCTGTGCCAGCGCCTCAGCACCCTCACAGGGAAGAGCTTCTGCCCCAGAGCTCATCTCAGTCTCCCCTCTGGCAGGTTCAAGCCATTCCCCTTGTCCTAAATGCAAGTGAGGACCCACAGATGTTCCACTACACCCCCTCGAGCCTTTGATGTGCCTGTGTGAAACATCCTGACCACAAACAGTCCAGAAAATCACCCACTTCCTTCATATTTGGCCCCAAATGTGGGTTCTTGGGGTATTTGCAACACCACAGAGCTGGTGAGCTTCCCACTGAGGGCTCAGACCAGCTTCCACCAAGACCACAGGATGCTGAACATGGGAATTTACAGACACTTGGACCAAGCAGGTCCTGCCCATGTTCAGCTGTGTTTGGAAGCAGCCACAGCTTTGAAGGTGTGATCCCAGAGCTGGCCCCTGCCCAAACTACTCGCCTCTGAGTAAGGGCTGCACTTTCCAAGATGAAATTCTAATCTTGGGCTGCTTGTGCCAAAACTGTTCACTTTGGGTTTCACAATCAGTCACTGAAGCTGGAAGGAGTAAGGACGCGGTGAACTCAGTGTTTATTCACAACAGCATTAAACTCCAGCCTTATTTTACCACCATTCACTGTTTCTCATGAGGGAATAAACCCATTTCTGGGTGTTCTGCTTAACTGCCACCTCCACCCCAATGAGTGCAGATGGGAATTGGGGTCTACCCAAATCCCTGGGAGTGACCCCCCCATTCCCACCCTGCCGGTACCTCTCACTGTAGGTAACACCTGCGACCTTCTGCGTGGGGCAGCCGAGGAAGAGGAGGGGGAAAGCCAGGAGCAGGCAGAGGAACATGCCCAGGACGCACATGGCGCTGCATTGCCTCAAGGACATCTGGAACCGCTTCAGGATGGCACCACCGACCACGATGCCGACCATGGCCCCAGGGATGTTCACAGCACCTGGGGAAAGGGAAGTCCTGAGCCTTGTTCTCCATCCTCTGATCCGTGTCAGTCCCTTCATTATAACAAAGGCCCAAAAGATTTGCTGTTGGGTTCCTGTTTTGTAGCATCTCTGCTTTGATGGGGACCTTTATGCAGGGACTGGTGGAATGATGCTAAGAAAGAGCAGTTCTGCATTAACAGCAGATTGGCTGTCTTACGTATCCATGCATGGATGATGTAGGGTCCAGTTGCTTCACCCAGCAAATGTGATTTTTCAGTGTAGATGGCAGAAAACATCAAGTGAACCCAGAGAGGATATTTAATCTCTGCGTAATGCAGCCATCTGCCCACTTCTGCTGTCATCACTGTAAACCTGTGGAGGTTTCCATCACACAATTGGCATTCTACAAAACCCACCTTTATAAAGGGATATCAAAATGCAATCTGTTTAATTCAGCAAAGAATCAATGGGGAGGTTGCTTTCGGCCCATAAATACCTACACAAAGAAGGGCTTCCAACTGCAGAAGGCGTTTTGATCTACTGGGAAAGGCAAAGCAAGATTTAGTAGCTAGGAACAAAAGCTAGATAAATTCATCCAAGAAATAGGTTTTTTACCCTCTAACAGGGTGGGTAAATCAAGCCTGGGAACAGCTCAGCAGGGCACATCAGTGCAGGACACCGCATTTAACCTTTCTGCCTGTGTTTAGCCTGGGCTTTGCCAGCCTGCTCTGCTCTTTTTCTTCTGATTTATTTGTTGTGCACTTCAGAAGAGTCTTTCTATGAGGATTCATGCTGTTTGTGCAAAAATATGTTTTAAATACTTCCCTGTCTGGATCTCTGAACTCCCTAATTGATATTACATGAGTAGGGTGTTATCCTTTGTACTTTTATTACCATGAGAAGATCTCATAGGGAGACCTCAGCCTCGGACAGGATATTCTGGATATCACAATGCAAGCAAAAGCAGGCTAATCTCATGAGCACATATCCTGCTCAGCACTTACTCTTTTCCTTCCTAACAACACCAACAGCACACAAGTAGATCAACAACTACAAGCAATTAGTCTGACTACAGAAAACATGTTGAAGAGTTGAGGCACGATCAATACATCACCAGCTTGAGTGGCCTCTTCCTCCAAAGTGTCTTCAAAATGCATTCATACACTTCTGCAGGCTTTCATTTTACTTACTTAAAGACCCTTAACCCGATGATTGATGTAAAGCAACCCCTGCTACAGCAACACGCACAGTTCATATCCGTTGTTTCTTTGCTCCCTTGGAGCAATGACTTGGTTTCCTCTCTTTGATTATATTGAACAACTTGAGATAACAAACATTTCTCCAGGTCTTAAAAGATTTTCTTCTAGCAAGAAGTGTAAAGAAAGGGAAGTAGCCAGTAGCTGAGAAACTATGGGCAGGGACCTTGTGTCACCTCTGTCTTGGCTCCACAGGAAGAGTTCCTTCTGAGGAAGGATCCCTAGGAATCATGGAATGGTTTGTGCTGGAAAAGACCTTAAAGCTCCTCCAGCTCCAACCCCTGCCCCGGGCAGGGACACCTTCCACTAGAGCAGGTTGCTCCAAGCCCCTGTGTCCAACCTGGCCTTGAACACTGCCAGGGATGGGGCAGCCACAGCTTCTCTGGGCACCCTGTGCCAGCGCCTCAGCACCCTCACAGGGAAGAGCTTCTGCCTTAGATCCAACCTGAACTTCCCCTGTTCCAGTTTGAACCCATCCCCCCTTGTCCTGTCACTCCAGTCCCTGATGAAGGTCCCTCCCCAGCACCCTTGTAGCCCCCTTCAGACACTGAAGCTGCTCTGAGGTCTCCAGCAGCTTCTCTTCTCCAGGCTCAACAGCCCCAATGTTCTCAGCCTGTCTCCATACGGGAGCTGCTCCAGCCCCTCATCATCCTCATGGCCTCCTCTGGACTAAACAGTCATCTCCAGTTTATGCTCCAAGAGGTGCTCAAAAGCCTTGACAGCAACACTTACCGATGATCATGTTGGCTAAGGACGCTGTGAGGGAGAACTGCCTCTCCAGGAACTTCCCCATGAATGTGGCTAATCCAGCAACCATGGCAGAGAGGTTGACCTGAGCCAGCACCACCAGCAGGTAGACGGGATGACGCACATTCCTCAACAGCACCAGGGGGAAATCTGAAAGGAAAAGCAGAAACCTGTTGCACAGAGAGGAGATGTACATCAATATAATCCATGGAAAGTGGGAAAACCTTGAATTTTCCTACATTTTATGCACCAAACTAAATCTTGAGGAGTGATGAGCTCTTCCATCTCTTCCGAATGTTTCATTTACAAAAGCACAGAACGAGTGCTTTCAGGGTTTATCATTTCAGGGCTGGATAGGGTGACCATTTGGATGTTAAAAAGTCAGGATGAAACATCAGGACACTGCAAAAATTGACCTGAAAATTGCAAAGTAGGGTGAGAGATGGAAGCTGATGATCCTTCATCCCACCTGCCTCAGGAACCAGCCATGGGATGGGTGAATCAATGGCAGAAGCTAGTTGCTGCAAGTGAAAAAGTAAGGTTTTCAGTTGGAAGTGACCTACAGTGATTATCTGGTCCAACTGCCTGACTGCTTCAGGGCTGGCCAAGAGTTACAGTATGTCATTAAGGGCATTGTTCAAATGGTCATTGCCCAACCTGCTGGAGCGAGGCCAGAGGAGGCCCCGGAGCTGCTGCGGGGGCTGGAGCAGCTCTGCTCTGGAGCCAGGCTGAGAGAGCTGGGCTGGGGCAGCTGGAGAAGAGAAGGCTCCTCAAGGGGACACCTTAGAGCAGCTCCAGGGCCTAAAGGGGCTCCAGGAGACCTGGAGAGGGGCTTTGGACAAGGGATGGAGGGACAGGCCAAGGGGAATGGCTTGAACCTGCCAGAGGGGAGACTGAGATGAGCTCTGAGGCAGAAGCTCTTCCCTGGGAGGGTGCTGAGGCGCTGGCACAGGGTGCCCAGAGAAGCTGTGGCTGCCCCATCCCTGGCAGTGTTCAAGGGCAGGTTGGACACAGGGGCTTGGAGCAACCTGCTCTAGTGGAAGGTGTCCCTGCCCGGGGCAGGGGTTGGGGCTGGAGGAGCTTTAAGCTCCCTTCACACAATCATTCCATGACACTGTGATTCTAGAGCAACATCTCCTGCTAAGAAATTCTGCCAGGGGCTTATGATGCCTTAGGAGAAATGCAACTGACTTTATGATATTCTTTCAGCCTCAGCTGAACCTCGGTGAATACTGTCTATGTCTCTGGCCTTCCACGGGTGGACTGTACCAGGATGGCTGAGAGCAACATGGAAACCTGCATGTCTTTCCCCCACCATCCATGGGCTGAGCACTGTGGCACTGAATGATTAGAGGGGTCATTACAAACATGCGTGCCCTGAGTAAACAGGGCCTTGGTTCATTCCCCTGGAGCTTTCTGGCACGGCTTCTGCTAAAACAAATACCAAAGGAGCTGGGAAGTCATTAAAAGTTAATTTATTTGTTTGCTGCAGTTGCAATTTCAATGTCTTTTTGTTTCCATCACAACAAAAAATGTATTTTGGGATATATTTGGATAGGAAAGAACTGCTCCAGTGAATTCCTCTGTGGCTGAACCCTCAGTGCCTGAGAAAAAGGCATCTTCATCCTGCTCAGCAAAGTCAGCTCCCCCCCTGTGCATGGGATTTGGGATGCCTGGTGCTGACACCCACCAGCTGGGAAGCTCCAGTTCTCCCTCCTGGAGTGATTTCCCCTTCATGCACATCCCAGACCCAGTTTCTGCTCCCCCGAACCATCTCCTTCTCCCAAGCTCCGTATCCAGCTTTGCAGCGTGCAAGCAAAGGGCACGTGTAAGGGCAACTTCCAGACAAACACACGATGAGCTTCCCAGATGAAAGGCAGTATGCTGAGGCAGAGATAAGGAATTAACAGGGAGGATTAATGCAATGGTCTGCCATAAATTGATGGTGTTAATTCTTTGCAGCTCACAAACAATTGGGACAATCTTCATATCTGCTCCAGCACGGAGCCGCTGGGAGATGGCGGCTGCTTGTCTGGGAGTTGTCCCAAGCTGTGCATTTGCTTTAGCTGTCCTGGAAGCTTACAGAATCATAGAATAGTTTGGGTTGAAGGGACTTAAAGCTCACCTAGTTACAACCCCTGCCACGGGCAGGGACACCTTCACTAGACCAGGTAGTGGTCTTCACCTCTTATGTGAAGAACGAAGGTCCATCCATGGATGTCCCCTATTCATGGAAGTCTTGCCTCTCCAGCTCAGCACTCTGCTCTCAGGGTTAGGCAAGCAGCTCCCTAAAGACATTGGGGAGCAGCAAAAGAGAGGCACAAGAGAGGGTCCAAGCATGCAAGGCATATTCAAGGACCCTGAAACACTGATACGCTGGAGGGCTGGGAGATTAGCATTCAGCTGTGAGTTGCAATGATACCTCTGGGCTAGACCTAGGGGAACCCCAAGGAGGGAGGTGGCTTTGCTCTTAACTATCATAGAATCAACTAGATTGGAATAGAAGTCCTGCTTTTTCAAACATATTCCTGCCTAGTTTTCATACTGGAATACCTCAGACATATTGCAAATCTGAAACCTCAACTTGCTTGCTTGAAAGATGTCCCAAGTTAATCCAGCCAGTCATTGAAGTAATGGGAATCTTCCACTGAAATAATTTCTTTTCCATAGAGCTCTTGCCTTTTCAAGCACACTACACCCCTTCTGCCACCCCAGATCAGAGCTATGAAGCTACAACAGTGAGCAGACTCCCCACTTCACAGTAAGAAACCATCCTCTGCATTCACCATCTTGTTACTAATTCAGCCTTACAGCTCCAGAGAAGAATCAGGCAGATACTAAAAGCAAGTGGAAGCTTTAAAATCATAATAAAAGAATATCCTTGAAAAACATCTTTAGGCACCATAGATAAAAACCCCCAAACAAGTCACAAGCCCAGTGTTTTAATTGCTTTGAAGATCACCTTTAATGGCTTAATTCCCAGTACGTGCAGCAGAAACTGCATATCCTCCCAAGGTGCTTGGAGCAGAAGCCTGGAAATTAGCAATGGAAATTACTTGAGGCTAAATCCTACCTTTTTGATTACTGCGAGCAGGTCCAGTGCCTGCAAAAGGAGCACTTGGTGAGTACAAGGAGCGGGGTGCAACCCAATGTCACCCAGAGCATCTGCGCGGGAGCCAAAAGTACTCCCCACAGTGCTTTGACTTTCCTACTTCTGACTAACTCCAGCAAGTGGAGGCTGCTCCCTCCTCGGGTAACTGACCTCATTGTCTGGAAGAGTCCCCAGCGCTTTGCCTGAGGATTTATCCTCTACATGGCTCCATCCTGTTATTGCTGATTGTGGAGGGAAAACCTCTTCCTGTCCTTGAGGCAGACTTCCCAGGGCTGTGCAATCTGCTCTCTGCTCCTCACACCTTGCCCCGGGAAGATAGAAAGCCCAGTAGCTTCCAGAGAAACGGAGAACATGAAGCACCTCATGGGATGGGCTCTAACCATCCGCATTTCATTCCCAATAAAGTAAACGGCAAATATTGCCTTCTTTTGCTCTCAGTTATTTCCATGTGCAATGAAGCAACAGAACAAATGACAAAATGCATTTCCTTCTCCATAATCACGCTTCATTTTGCATCATTTAAGCTGAACTAAGTGACTAAACAATATTTCCGAACATCTTTCTCCTCCAGGTCACTTTAGTAACTAAAGACTTGCCTCTGCCAAGCCCTTAAGAGAATGATGAACCCTTAAAGGTGCTCTTCAGCCTTATTCTGCTCAAGAAGCGTCCTCAAGTGCTTTGCCATCCCTGTTCCCTCCAGCTGACAGGCAAAGGGACACTTCCCAATGGGAGGTGTTGCCTTCCTCCTGGGAGAAGCAGTCCTAGTCCCAGGTTGAGTTTGCAGCCAACCCTCATGGGTGGCCCAGAGGGAGGACTCTGTCTTACAAGGAATGTGGAAAGAACAGGACTGAAGTATCACATGGAGAAATCTGAGATCTTGCTCAGCCCCTGTTTGATCCAGTTCCTGCTGGTATCCCAAGGCTTTCCTCATCCCATCCCAAACAGGGGACCCATAACCATCAGCAACCTTCATCCCACCCTGAAGAGGGGACTCATCAACGCTGGGCAGGTCTGGGGCTGCCTCTTCCAAGGATAACACTAAAGCATCAGGCAGCTCTGGATAGGGGACCATCTGTTAAAGCTCCCCTCGAGATGCAGATGGACCAACAAGCAGATGAGGTGATGCCAACAGCCATCCCCAGCATAAGGCTTAGCCCCTTGCCCATAAAACTAACATATTTTTTACAAGCAGTGAAAAGGCGTGAGCATCAAGGCTGAATTACTACACAGGTTGATATGTCTCTTGTCAGATACGGTAGGAATCTGCTTTGTGTCATTTCTAACTGCAGATTGGCATTGCCCATCTCTTAAATGCCCATCTCCTGCCCTTCTGCCCCCCATGGTGCAGGCAGAGATGCCAGATGCAGCCAGAAAACACAAGGAAGCACCTCTCAGAGATTCCACAGCACAACCCCACCACTTCCAGCCTGCTGAGATCACAAACTGGGAGCATCCTCCTTCAGGAGCTGGGTCATCCCTTTGTACTGGGATGTGGTGTGCAAAAGGCTCGCTATGAGCATGGTGCAGGACCAGACTGTTCTACAGCATTTCCCCATCACATGTGCTTCACTCAGCCTCTCTTTGCAAACAACAGAGGGTATAAAATTCCAAGGTGACTCAGGCTGGAAAATTTCCAGATGTTGTTTTCATAAACTGTCATATAGAAAAGAATGGTTAAAAGAGAGGAAAGAAAGCCTGATGAGAGAAAGAATGATGGAATCCCAGCCTGGTTTGTGTTGGAAAGGACCTTAAAGCTCCTCCAGCTCCAACCCCTGCCCCGGGCAGGGACACCTTCCACTAGAGCAGGTTGCTCCAAGCCCCTGTGTCCAACCTGCCCTTGAACACTGCCAGGGATGGGGCAGCCACAGCTTCTCTGGGCACCCTGTGCCAGCGCCTCAGCACCCTCCCAGGGAAGAGCTTCTGCCCTATATCTAACCTGAACTTCCCCTGCTTCAGTTTAACTCCATCACCTTTTGTCCTGTCCCTACAGTACCTGATGAAAAGCCCCTCTCCAGCATCCGAAAAGAACAGAAACAGAACAAGAAAGAAGAAACAGAATAAGCAGAAGAGCCATAAAATGGGAGGTAAAATTCTCTTTCGAGTGACCTGTAGATGAGCACTAAAGTCCTCAGACTTCACCCAAAATGTCCCCATTTAACCATCACACACTAGTTCCCATCCACTCTCTGGCTCTAAAGAGTTCTGTGTTAGAGATCCTGGTGATGTGGCCCTGCCCAGGGCAGGGGGTTGGAACTGGCTGATCTGAAGGTCCTTTCCCCCCAAAACCATTCTGGGATTCTATGATTTCAGCAAGACAAAAAGTCCAGATGCTTCATTTGCCTCAGGTTTGGGCTGTGGGGGCCGAATTCTCAGAAATAATGAATTTCTATTAGCACAGCTCCACAGCCCTGACGACAGCAACAGCTCAACCGCACACAACACATTTCCTGCCCTCTTCCCTCCCCAGCTCAGTTTTATTCATCTTTCAGAGGCAAAGAGCAGCGTTGGTGTGAAAATCCCATCTGAGGGCTGCAAATCTGTTCCCATCACACGGGGCTTCTACATGACAGTGCAACAAGGTCACTGGGGTATAAACCCTCAACTTGCTCCTCTAATTTAGCATTAAGGTAGTGAGGAAACAGTGCAAGGAGCAGGATACAAACCTGCCCGTGCTGCTCTGCCCGTGCCTGCCCTGCACTGACCTCAATAATACAGAGAATTTCCAATACATTAAAGGGATAATATTCAGGAGACACGGAGGAAGCTGCCGTGGGTTGGCTTCAGAAGGTCACTTTCCTTCAGTAGCTGCCAAAGTGCAGAGTGTTTCCTTCAAGAAAAACAACTCCGAGCAGGCTAAAGCCCAGCTGAACCCCTGCAGCACAAAGAGCCTGCTCAGTGCTAACCCAGCCCATTGCACGGGGTTAATAGCACCCCGGACAAACACACATCTGGTTTTATCTGCTCACACCCTGGTTGTCCTTGGAAGGACCAGGGAGGGCACCTGGCTTGGGTGTTGTCACCAGCCCTGAAAGAGGGGATCTGGGAAGGCTTTTTGGGGGTGATGCTGGGGGTCTGATTGCCGCCATGACCTGAGAGATGACCAATGGCAGCTGGGTGCACCCACACTGCAAACCCCTCTAACTGGGGGGCTCTTTCCATTCCCATGGCTTGTACCTTGTACCGCTCTTTTCTGCCTGGTTTTGGGCTCTGATAAGGTTTTGGGTTCCATTTCCCATTGCCTAGGCAAGTTGTAAAGCCATGCAACACTGCAAGCTACCAACCCCAGATGCTTTGATCAGTATGAGGTGGACAGGGTAGTGTGGATGTGAGGGCAAACATCTGCTGTGAGCAGACCAGGAGGAGAGACCTGCAGATCTAATCATACATCTGCTCTGGAGATAGGCTGAGAGCCCTTAGAGCAGCTCCAGGGCCTAAAGGGGCTCCAGGAGACCTGGAGAGGGGCTTTGGACAAAGGATGTAGGGACAGGCCAAGGGGAATGGCTTGAACCTGCCAGAGGGGAGATTGAGATGAGCTCTGAGGCAGAAGCTCTTCCCTGTGAGGGTGCTGAGGCGCTGGCACAGGGTGCCCAGAGAAGCTGTGGCTGCCCCATCCCTGGCAGTGTTCAAGGCCAGGTTGGACACAGGGGCTTGGAACAACCTGCTCTAGTGGAAGGTGTCCCTGCCCGGGGCAGGGGTTGGGACTGGAGGAGCTTTAAGGACTTTCCCAACCCCAACCATCCCATGACTGCAACTCACTGCATTGCCCACTGCTGGGACGTGTGTTTGTACAAGCAGAGAGAACCCTCCAAGCGGGAGGTCGCGGATGTGACACTTACGTTTGACGAACTCTGTTAGAGAGAGGTTCTGCACGTGTTCAGACCCCGACCTGAGCTGGCTGAGCACGTCCTCGCTCTTCTTGCTGTCACTCTCCTTCCCACTCGCCACCTGGGGACAGAAAGAGGCTGTCACTGCACTCCCTGTGCCATTCCCACTGAACCCCCTTTTCCTCTCCCAAATCATGCCACACCGCATCTTCTCCATCTTCTTGGAGATGGAGTCTGCAATGCTTCTGGGCTTGGCCAGCACTCTCCATGTCCCACGGGGCTGGGAGCATCCATACATATGTCTTTATTATGGGGATAAGAACCATCTTCCCCACCTTTCCCAAGAGCAATGAATCCCACTACACAAATATCAAGCTGGGCCATTACCCATGTTACAGCACAGCATGTCCTCAGCTCACATGAACATGGGAATTCATCCAGAAAGATGGATAACCTTAGGGAGATGCTTTTCTTCCCCAGAGGGTCTGGTTTACCCCTGGGGAGAAGGAAGGGAAGCACAGGAACCCAAGGAGCAGTGCACCTAGACCTCCAGCCAAAGGTTTGGATGAAGGATGAGCATTTCCCCCACATCTCCATATGTACCATAACGAGCTGCATGAGGGACCTTTTACCCTGTCACCACCAAGGAGAGACAGCAACAGTTGTAGAGGGAAAAAATCCAGGTGAGGAGAGGGTTTGGATGGAGGCAAAACACACGTCACCTCCTGAGCTGAGAGGGGCTGACGCAGAGCAGAGATGTACCAGGGAACACAGGGACCAGCCACAGACCCCTCACCTCTCCCAGCCCCTTTCCATTTTAATCCTGTTCCTGGAAGCCCCACCTGGATTCCAGCAACCCCTCCAGCTTCTCTTCAATGCTTTTCACTTCTTTTAGCACATCTTTCCCACTGAACAGCAGCAGTATGGAAGGGAGACCCTCTCCCATTCTGGTCTATGGAAGGGGACAGACCCTGCAGCTCCCTCCCCCTCTTCCTTCTCCATTCTGCATTGCAGGTGGAGGTCAGATGGGTCCACGTATCTCTGCTTGATTCAGCCTCACCCAGTGCTTGGAGCCCTGTGGGTCACTAACCCAGGCGCCCACAGAACCTGGTGCTGCTGCTCAGAAGCAAAGAGGTGCTGGTGCAAGTGAAGTGGAAGATGGAGGACTTGAATCATCCAAGATCCATCGCAGCCTCATTACATGACTGCATGCCCAGGGCAAGTGTCCAACACCCCAGGGCATCATTCCCCTGCCAGCAAGCAGCAAGCCAGGGCAGGGGAGGATTTCTCCCTTGGCTATCGCATGCCCTGCCCTGCAGGCTGCTCTGGAATCACGGGCATGGAGGACACCAGTGACATTAGATGTGCTATTATACATATGCAATAACAGAAAGTGTTCAGGAGCGTGGTCCTCGTGGAAACCCACAGTGCGTTTTTAGCCCGAAGGCCAGAGGCAGCAGCTCAGTCTCTGACATCCCACATCAGACTGTGCTAACAGTCAGCACCAGTTTACTGGGACAGACAAATGAGTTCATTCAACAGAAATTAGATGTTCTTAATTCACAGAGAGAATTGGGCAGCTCTTTGGTTATAATGGTCTCTTTTCCTTTGAAAACAAGACTGATCATTAAGCATGAACGAGTCAAAACACCCCGTGCTGCAGCTCCCACCTTCCATTTTGGAACAGCCTCTACAAGGCAGAAGTGATAAAGCTCGTTTCATGGCTTCTATTGCAGGAGATCAGGGTTTAATAAACCTTTCAAATGTGACTTACTGAGGCGCTGGCACAGGGTGCCCAGAGGAGCTGTGGCTGCCCCATCCCTGGCAGTGTTCAAGGCCAGGTTGGACACAGGGGCTTGGAGCAACCTGCTCTAGTGGAAGGTGTCCCTGCCCGTGGCAGGGGTTGGGGCTGGAGGAGCTTTAAGGTCCCTTCATCCCAAACCAGTCTGGGATTCTCCAGCTTTTCCCAGGTTGAGGTCAGGTTAGGAATGATGCCCTAATGGAAAGCATGGGGCAGCTTCAAACTCCTTCCTTTGAGGAAGTGTCCTCCATCCCCGCACAAGGCTAGAAGTGATGGCTATAGATGAAAGCCCTTTACAAAAACATGAGCTGCAATGAGATCACGTTTGCACCCATCCTTTAAGGAATCATCCTGAAAAATCCAAGCGTGGGGCATGTTGCAAGGTGCTTCCCACGTTTGGCTGGTTTTCCTTGGCACGTTGCTGCTGCAGTCAGGGTAGTGCTGAGCAGCCAGCCCGTGTTATTGCACCTCCCGACCCCAGCTCGCCAAAGTGCCTGCTCCGAGTAATGCTGAAATCCTCTGTGGCAGGAGCCAGCAGCAGCAGCAGGGCTTGAGCAGCTCTGATGGCAGAGCCAGCAGCATTCTCCTCCCTGCACACAGTGAGCAGGCAGGATTCATCCCGGTCCCTCTGCAGTTTGCTTCCCAGCATGTGAACACGCCTGCTTCATCCCAGAGGAATGCATTTCCGGATCCTTTTGGACAGCAAGTAAATATATCGGGGATCCAGGACAGCTTGGGGAGAGGAGCTTTCCTCCTCCTCCTTGAGGACTTGGCTCCATGTGCAGACAGCAGCTGCTCCTCGGATGGGTGCTAAGCCAGATGTGCACAGGAACATCCCACTTGCAGGGGTCATGCTCAGTTAGAAGCATTCCAGAGCGGGGAATTTCAGGGATTTGGGGCTTTTTGTGGTTTTCTGGATAGGCAGAGAGTACCCAGCAGAGTGTTAACTCCCTGAAGGACAAGGAGCCGGAAGCTGAGAAAGCCACAGTCAACAGCTTGAAGGTATTTCTGGAAAACAATGAAGTTTTAGAGCAGAGAGAAGAGAGCTTGTAACCTAATAGAAAAGTGAAAGGAAGCTGGATTTTGTCTTTCATAGCATCAAAGAATGGTTTGGGTTGAAGGGACCTTAAAGCTCCTCCAGCTCCAACCCCTGCCCCGGGCACGGACACCTTCCACTAGAGCAGGCTGCTCCCAGCCCCTGTGTCCAACCTGGCCTTGAACCCTGCCAGGGATGGGGCAGCCACAGCTTCTCTGGGCAACCCTCACAGGGAAGAGCTTCTGCCTCAGAGCTCATCTCAATCTCCCTTCCGGCAGGTTCAAGCCATTCCCCTTGGCCTGTCCCTACATCCCTTGTCCAAAGCCCCTCTCCAGGTCTCCTGGAGCCCCTTTAGGCCCTGGAGCTGCTCTGAGGTGTCCCCTTGAGGAGCCTTCTCCAGGCTGAAAGGTGTGTGGCCCCATTTCCCCGCACAGACATGACGAAATGAGGTATGAGCAGGGTTGAGACCAGGACTTGCTCTGCAGGAAAAGCATCTTCTCTGTGAGCCAGGCTCCTGCTCTCCCCCTCCTGCCATTGCACCTGCGAGAAGGGCAGCCAGAGGCGCCTGCAGCCTGGTTCTATTCACACACACCACTGGAAAAGAGGATAAACGCCAGGCTCTGTGGCAGAGGTTTCCCTTGCTCAGTGTGAGGCTTCTGGAGCGTTTCCCTCTGGCTGCGCAGACCCTGGCGCTTCCAGCTCGGTGGAAAACAAGGTCAGGGAGAAGCTATTTCAATCTGAAACAAACAAAAAGTAAAACCTGGTGGCTTGGAAAAGAATCCGTTTCCTCCCGACAAGGTCACGCTCCCTACAACACGTCGCTGTGTCTCTTCCAGCACACGTGGGTCCCACCAGGGACCTGGTTTCCTAGAGCATTCACCAACCAGCCCACAGGCACCTTGCTCCCATGTAATGGGGTGGTTATATTTAGCCACCGTTTGTGCCCATCTATAAAGGTCCCTATAAAATCCAAATGTAGAGACCAGCCCATTCCTGTAGCGTGCCAATGGCACCTCCACACCCCTGTCCCCCCCGTTGCTCCCTAGATAATGCTCTATATTTCTAGGTTGCCTTTGCTGAGGCTTGAGGAGGTTTAATGAGGCAGCCTCAGAGCATCCCAGGAGCAGAAGTTTCCAGGCTAAGCCTAAGATTCCCCTGCTCCCTCTCTTTAACCATTCCCCACTAACGGATAACCCCAATTGGAGCAGGCGCTGGGGAGAGCTCCCCATCATTTCTCATGTCAGCACCCCTGGAGCACACCAGGTCGCTGCCGAACAAACAGGGCAGGGTTTGGATAAATGCTGCAATCTGTCTCCACACAGAAAGTGGAGATGTTATTTTTCACTCCCCCAGTGCCGTTGTGCAACGTCTCTGCCTGCAGCGAAGGGTCGAGTCGCTGCTCCAGCACCATCCCACCATGCCAGGACCCCAGAACAACCCCGAACAGAGCTGTTTGTACCCTGAAGTACCCTCTGTGGGTTGGGAAGGGGATGGGAAGTCCCCGGCGAGCCTGGCAAAGGGCAGGAGGCTCTTTGCAGGCTGGGACGTGCTGGGGCAATCCTGTGATGCAGCCAAGAGCAGCACCCATGGGGCATCCTCAGGGCAGGGCAGGAGGGGTCCCAGCTGCATTGTTCCTGCAGGAGCTTCTCCTCATCATAAACCTTCTGCTTTGGGACCGGAGGGACAAGAGTTGGATGGACCTTGCCAAGAGACCTCCATCAGGAATGGTGATGTCCAAACATCTCTTCCAGTGTGGCTTAAGAGGAGAGTGCTGATGAGACGGACTGATATCCAGAGAGGGTTGCGTGACAGCACCAGGGCCTGGACACAACCAGGACATGTAGACCTGCTTCCCATAAAATCCACCCCGGCTTTCTCACGAGGCATCTGTTTGCAGATGACAAGTGCTGACATTACAGGAGAGGCTTTGTCAGGGCAAGGAGGAAGCGTCTCTCACTCACCCCCTTTGTACGGGGCTTGGGAGGTGTTTGGTTCTATGTGACTGTGGAATGTCACAGAATGAAACCTGAACTGGGAGATAATGGGGTGGAAAAGACAGATCTTGTACAAGAGAAATGCTGTGCAAGGGCAATGCTCCTGCTTTTGTTTAAGGTGCTCCTGAGATCACCTTTTCCCTTTCCAGCCCTTTCCCATCACCTGCAGAGCCGCAGGGACTGGGGAGGTGCTTTACCTGCTGCAATGCAACACAGACACTATGGCCAAGAAAAAGCCTTTCCTAAAGGGAAAGCCTTTAGCAGCCACAATACAACTGCCTGGGTTGGGACACAGCATCAGCAGACAGTGAAGAATGAGCTAAACTTTGGCTATTCAGCAACTGGAAAGTGCTCAAGTGCTGTAGTTCCCCAGAGTACAGGATACAATCCCAAGAACACAGTTCAGGCTCACGGAGGCAGGATTAAACTGGAATTACTGGGGAAAATACGGTTCTGACTGGAAACAGTTTGTCCAGCATCAGCCTCATCCTCTGCCTGTGATCATGCTGGAACTGGATGAGCATTAAGGTCCCTTCCAACCCAAACCATTCCTTGATTCTATGAGTACATCATTGCCATGACTGTCCCTCAAATAGGATTATTAGGGATGTTTTGGTGCTAGAAACTCACTGACAAGTATCAAAGCAGAGAAATAAAAATGTTCTGTGTCTGGAGTGATTGATTTATGAAAAGAAAGATGAAAAGAGAGAACTCCCATGATCACTGATGTTAACATTGAATGCACAAATCATCCCAGGAACTTCAAAGAAAGAGGCTATCAAATAAAGAGAAGCCAAAATGTGGTCGTAGAATAAATAACCGAGGTCTGTCTTGGCTGATGGGAGGAAGCAAATATGTCTCCAAAGAGACAGAGGGCTGTGCTGTTGGTCGGTGTTTGCTGGTGATGCCCACTGAGGGGGTGGTCCTTGGTCTGGAAGCACCACCAAGGGCTCAGATGAACCACATAAGCTGAAGCAGGAGAAAGAAGGGCAAATGAAGGTAGGATGAGGGTCAGAGAAGAGGAATAGTCCCTTTGGCAGTGAGAAGGACTGAGCCATGGGCCAACCTGTGCTACTGGGGTCTCATCTGGTGGACTCGGCAGCAGGGAAATGCATCCACAGCTTCATAAGGACACATTATTCCCAGGTGGCCTCATCATCTACCGAGACACGCAGGGGTCTGCAGACAGCAGGTGACACAATGACAGCTTAAGCTTCTGGCCTCCAAAAATTACTCCTGTAGCTGGTGGTGCAGAATCATCTCAGCTTCTTCACTGGACAGAGCAGGTCTGGGCTTTTCCCATGTGCTGTTATGGCTGACATGCCTATAGGTATTCACTGTGGGTTAGATGTTGTGCTGGGGCTTTACAAACATGGGGGGAAAACCCAGGTGATGCTTCAGATACTTGCAGCTTGTGGCTGCTGGTAGCTTTATTCCTGCTTTAGACAGGAAGAAGCCCTGAAAGCAAAGGCAACAAAGGAAATACTGATTGTCTTTGAAGCTGCAGCTGTACTTAGACAGGGTTGACCCCACGGTTATCACAGTGTCTGTTCCTACTGATCTGCTGGTCTGTAAAACCCTGGGCTGACCCCGTGCCTCCCTTCCCCTCGGCTGTGTGTCAGGGGATGGGGATCGTGCTGCAGAGGTAGCACAGGGATCCCACCCTTCCTCACTGCAATGCCCCATCTCCCCCTCTCCATCCCAAACCAGAGCCGAGCACAAGAAGGAACAACAGCTTTGCTCTGTGTGGTGACAGGAAACCTGGATGCAACCTTAAAGCTGCAGCATGAGCCACTGTGGCACCAGAGACCTACTGGGAAAGGGCAGCTACTCTGGCTGGGGCAGAGAAAGGACTATGAAGATGCTCCAGGGGCTGGAGCATCTCTCCTGTGGAGCCAGGCTGAAAGAGCTGGGCTGGGGCAGCTGGAGAAGAGAAGGCTCCTGAAGGGGACACCTTAGAGCAGCTCCAGGGCCTAAAGGGGCTCCAGGAGACCTGGAGAGGGGCTTTGGACAAGGGATGGAGGGACAGGACAAGGGGAATGGCTTTAACCTGCCAGAGGGGAGACTGAGATGAGCTCTTGGGCAGAAGCTCTTCCCTGTGAGGGTGCTGAGGAGGTGG